ATCCATCCCCTCACTCTCTTGTATCTTCCTTACACCATGCTGGCTCTTTGGTCCTGATTATAATACCTGATCTTATTATAATTCAAATTATAAATTCGCCCCTGGAAATGCCCTCTACACTGTAGCTGCAGGTCAGAGAGGCACCGATCCTTCAGAACCCTACCCCAAAGACATTTCTTCTTTTGACTTATTTCTCCCATGGAAATTCTACAGAGACTCCTCCTCTGCCCAAAGGCTCTCAGGGCAGGAAGTCACAATTTAATTGAGCACTGGATGTAGTTAGCTTGTGTAGGCTCCATCATGGCAGAATCAGAGGAACTAACCCTGTGACAAGATCCCCTCATCCTAGCATTTGAGGTGTAAGCATCCCACTTTAACGAATCCTTCATCCTAGCGCATTCTTTTCGCTGACCCCTCCAAATCACATCTGTGAGTGTGCCACGTTAACAAGCCCTTCTCTTCTCAGCCATTTCAACAGTGCACGCTTGATGTGGACACACCAGAAGCTCATCGTTTTCTGTGTGCTGATTATCTCCGTCTCTGGTGAGCAGGGTGCTCTAAGGTTGGCCTCAGTAGCACGGGATCATCTGAGGCTGTATCGTCTGTCTGTATGTCTCATGAGTATGACAAAAAGCTCAGAAAAACGCCTTGAGAAATCTAGATGGAAACCAATGCCCCATGGAAAGACATAAATATTTGATCAGGTTCTGAACAAGACTCCTTCTCATGAATGTTTGAACACCTCGGTAGCATAATGTTCAGAGGCTGATTAGAGTCAGCTTGTGCTAAGACAGGGAAGCTGGAGAGGAGGAGGGGCATATAACAGTGAGGGAGGAGGCATGGCGCACTGTCTCTTTTAAGGACCTAAAATACATCTAAGGAATACCCGAGGGCTCCCCTGATTTGCATGGGTGCTCATTTTCCAAGTGCTAGCCCCAGCAGAATATGAGGCAGAGCAGCTCCTAGCAGCAATGTCTCTGGAAGGACACCACACTGCCTGTTACTGAACCCCTGTCCATTTGCCATACGTCTCTCGGCACAGGGACACGGGAGCATTTTCTCTTTCACGTGAAATATTCAGGACTAAACAGAGGCAGGATCTATAAGCATAATCATAGCAGCTTTATTCAAAATAGCCCCCAACTGGAAACAACCTGAGTGTCCATGAATAGGAGCATGAATAAACATAACAGGAATATTCATACAACGGATGCCACCTTTCAAGGTGGTATTTATTTTATTGCAGTAAAAGGAAATGGCCTATTGATATACTCAACAACAGCAATGAGTCTCACAGAGACTGCTGCAAAAAGAAGTCAGACAAAGAGGATATGCTACGTAAATGCATTTATATGGGTGCAGGAACCATTAACACCCAGGCAAAGAGGAATCGACTGCTTCTGGATGGTGGGGGTGGCTAGAAAGAGGCATGAGGGAAATTCTGAGGGAGTGAAATTTTGTGTATTTTGTTTGGGCTGCATGATCAAAACTGAACCAACCTCCAGCAGGCAAAGCTTAGGAACACCATTAAGATAAGGAGTTCACTGATCTCCAGACCATCATTTCCCTATAGAGTATTGACTACCTGACTTCTAGTATTTTACCAATTTTTTTTTAAAACTTGGTTTCACAAGCCTGGTGGGAGAGAGATAAGGCTTTGTGTTATTTATTGCCTAATTGATTCAATAATATCTGCTAATTGCTTATCATTTGCCAAGTAGGAACATAGCCATAAAACAACAACAAAAATCTCTTGTTCTTATGGTGTTTCCAGTGGAGGATCTGTCCAATTCACAGAGACACAGCATCGAAGTGACAAATGCCAGGGATATTCTCACTAAGGTCACAAGAATCAGGGGCAGATGAGCTCAGCAGTGAAAACCACAGGCAACAGATGTGACCTAGTGAAGTCAAGCACACCCCACCATGCAGGGCTGTGGTCACCTTTGATGGAGGACTGGATTTTATTCAAGTGTGAGTTGAAGCTATTGGAGGGTTTTACATTGGGGAGGGGTGATAAATCCAACTGATGTCTTAAGAATGAGACATCTGTGATCTCTGCATTGGAGGCGGAGGCAGGAGGATTGGGAATTGGAGGCCAGCGTGGACTACAAAGAAAGACCCTGTTGTAATGAATGAATGGATGAGAAAAAGAACAGCGTCAGTGTGCGTTTCTTCCTTTTGTCTCTTTACCTCTCGTGCCTTAAGTTTGGGGGTAGGGAGAGGAGAGGGGGAGAGAGAGAGTAAAAGAGAGAGAGGGAAGCAGGGAGCGCCCCAAAATCAAGAGATCTGTTGTCTGTTATAGGAGATTTATAAGAACAAAATTCACATAATATAATTAATATTTTCTCAAAAAAATCTTTCTAATATTTTTTTCTTAATCAGTTTAACCTTTGTCCAGGCCTGAGTCACATACATCTGAGTCTCAAACTCTTATTTTTTTTTTATGTTTTAAGATAATTAAAAGGGCTGGAAAGATGGGTAAGTAGTTAAGAGCACTGACTGCTCCTCCTGATTACCTGTGTTCCATTCCAGCACCCACATGGTAGCTGACAACCACCTGTAATTCCAGTTCTAGGTGGATCTGATGCCCCCTTCTGTTCTCCATGAGAACTGCATGCATGTGGTGCACAGACATACATGCAGTCAAAAACACTCATATGCATAAAATAAAAATAAACAGTTTTTTTTTTTGAGACACGGTTTCTCTGTGTAGCCCTGGCTGTCCTGGAACTAGTGCTGTAGACCAGGCTAGCTTCGAACTCACAAAGATCCACCTTCCTCTGCTTCCTAAGTGTTGGAGTTAAAGGCGTGCCCCACCAACAACTGGCAATAAAATTTTAAAAATAAGATTATTAAAAGTTTATGAAAAGAAAGGTAGGTAACTTCTGGGTATATCTAAAATTTCTCCTAATAAAGTGTTGGTAGGAAAGAAGTGAGGGATTTGCATTTATTATCAGCATCCTTCAGCAAACTCATCAGAAACTAAACACCAATAGTTCTCCATTCTTTCTGCAAACAAGGGCTCCATCTGTTTTCTGTTCAACTATCAAGTCCAGCTTCTCTGCTCAAGTCAGCCTGCACTTCCCTGCTCCTGTGCTTCACAGGAGCCCTGGCCCAAGTTACACCCTGAAAAACATTCAAGGCCTGAAAGGAAACATGCATTCCGTAGGTAAACTGCTTGCTGTGGAAGTGTTTGGATCCCCAGAACACAAATAAAACCAGAAGTTATAGAGCATTCAGGCCTGGATCCCAGTCCTCTTTCCAGGAGGGGAGAGGCAGAGACAGGAGAATCCTTGGATTTTGGCCAACTAGCCTGGTGCACACAACAAACAAATACCAGAGACCCTGCCTCAAACAAGGTGGAAACAAGAACCCACACCTGTGGCATCCTCTGACTGCATGTGCCTGCACACACAGACGCACAGACACATACAGACACGCAGGCACACAGAAACTTTTTAAAAGGTAAATCTGAGGAGCGGATGCACTTCTCAGAGGCCTCATTTTCTTCCACTACAACTTTCAAATATCTTTACATACAAATAGGGAGTGAGTGGGATATAGGAGCCCTCATCAAGGAACAAGGTGTCCAAGGCCTCTTCTTTGCAGGTGACCCCGTTCCTTTGACCATCCTTCCACTCTTTAGACTGGAAGCTGTTTACCCTCCATGTCTCTGCTGGGGGCCATTTCCATTTTCCCTAGACCAGGGCATGTCTATCTCCAGACTGCCACTATTCTGCCTCTGACCAGGCCAACTCTGGGCTATCAGGGAACAGAAAGAAGCTGAAAGTTGGAGGTGAGAGACAGAGAAACAAAGAGAATATGCCAGATACAGTAGTGGTCCCGAAGGGGAATTAGACAGGCAAAATGGGGACCAGAGAGGCCCTCCACTCTTACTGAGAGATCCCTGATTTAAGCTAAATTTACCAAAGCGTGTTATAACCCAGACAGACTCCAAGTGTCTGAAGCCCCGAGACAAGTGGTCCTCCTTCACTTATCTGTATACACCCAAGTGTTCCTTCAGCAGCAGTTAAATACAAACAATCTACAAATTTGGAAGCCTGGCTGGTACTCCAACTTCTGGGAGAATCCAGCTATTGGTGGAGAAAAGGGTTGTTTTTTTCTTTACCCACCTGGCTGCCTAATTAACACACTAACACATAAGGTGCTTTTAAACCCCTACCGGGAAACCTTTTCTTTTCACCTAAGTGTGCCCACAATGTCACCCTCTGAATCTCCTTTAAAGAATACAATGGAAAAGTCAATTTATTATAGGGTCAGGGCATAATTTACTTATTCCTCATACATTCACCCAGAACAACAGTGTATGGGTAAGAGCAGCCACGCCATCCTCCCCTAAGGATCTTACTCTTGAAATGGTAACATTTCAAGGAAAGCTAAGGAAGCAGCACGTGGTGCCTAGCTTTCTAAGTGCTGGCCAGAGCCAAGAACGCTTGGGCGCCTGGGGCACTCCTCTGGTGCCCAGGAACAAAGCCATCACACGGAACGTACATAGTGTAGTAAAACTTTTTTTCTCAGACTTCAGAGTCAGGATGGGAAACAGCAGCTCGCTGCCCTGCCCTCCGGAGGAGCTTGCACCTGCAGGGTAGATTTGGGATCAAGCCTGGAAATCTCCAGACTGTAGGGATTAGTTCTGAGACCTTTTTTTTCCCCCAGCAGTTTGCCGCTTTTTCAACGAAACAGAGAAGTCACACTTTGTTCACACCCAGTTACAGCACTCTCTCCTCTTTTTTCTTTCACCTCCCAAATTGCCATCTGCATCCCTGATGCATGGCCACGAGTTCTTCCCTAATACTTCTTGGATTTCTTAAATCATTCCCGAATTCCCTGCCCAGGTTTTGAAGAGAAGGAAATGCCCCTTCCCTCTCCACTTCTTACTGTAGAATTCAGGTGCCCCGTGTTTTGTGGACACACGGCATCCACCAGGAGCTCTTACAAAAGCTCGCGTGTAGGGTCCTCAAGGGCGCATTGCTCACCTCGCGGGGTCCCCGGCTCTGTGGCTGGGATGCGCGTGCTCTCCAGGTCTCTGGTGGGCTCCCTGGGCTGAAAGACGGCGGGAGGGACGCGGACGCGCCCATCGCCACACTGACAGCCGGAGTGGCGGCCGTGCGGTGTGCGCGGTGCCCTGCGGGTCGCCTCCTCCCCTGCCCGCGCGCCGTCCCTCCTCTGGCGCCACCCCGCGCCGGGACTCGATTCTGCGGTCCGCCGCTGGCCGCTCCACCACTCCCGCATCCTCCATTCCTCAGACCTCCACTCCCATCTGCCCGCTTCGAGAGTCCCCGGGCAGCTCCTCGCCGCAGTGCGTTCAAAGTGCCTCAGGGACGCTGTCTAGGAGCCTGCGGGCGGAGGATGCTCAGGTCCTGTGCCTGGATCCTCAGACTCAGGTCCCAAACTGGTTCCTGTTGTTCGAGAATTAGATATCCATTAGTTTTCTCCGGGCCTTTCCGTCCCTCCCATCCCACGCCTTTCCTGTCTCTCTCCTTTCCTTACTTCCCTCTCGCTTTTCCCCTTCTCTCTTCTTTCCTTTTCCGTATTCTTCTCTTTTATTTCTGTACTTTTTGATTCTTTGCATTGAGTTTATGCTTATTTTAGAATCAGAAAGACAAGAATGTTGCTTATAATAGGCATGTACCTGTGTACATTAAGGAAAACCTGGCTTGGGCTCAGGTGGGGAGCGAGTGTGAGATGGGTGCTGAGAATCTACTTTGAATTTTCATATCTTCCTTTATTGTATTTTAAAAGTACAGATCCAAGTGTCTATGTACAAAGATGTAGGGACGGAGATGGCTGTAGGATTCACTCAGGCAGGGAGCCACTTCTCAGGCCCCCAACATTTTTACCGCAAACTTTAGGGACAGGAGAGGAGGGGGAACAGACTAGAGCTCCAGGGTTCAGATCACATGGCAGGGAGGGTTGGGTTTAACTTCTTACACCCCCACTATGCCACTCAAAGGCTTAATTTCACAGGAAAACACTCCATTAAAGAGAAAAGTATAAGGAAAGAAATAAAGCAAACGCTTTATATAAGAAAATGAGCAAAACGTGACTTCCGGTTCTACACAGCTAGAAACTGCCATGGAGGGGGCCGAGGAGGTCCCTTTGATTCTCCACCTTTGGAGTTACTCGGTTTAAAAGGCCATGGCGTCGTCGTGGGGTGGGGGAGCTGGAACAATGCCCGAGGACCTGAGTCAGTTCTGACACCCGTGTTAAAAGCCCCCGTGACTATTATCCCAAGGCCGGAGTTGGGAGTGCACGGGGTGCGGGGAGGAGGTGTGTGTGTAGAGACAGAGACCGGAGGATCTCCGGGTTTGCTCGCCAGCCAGTCTCAACTGGTAAGCTTCAGGTTCGGTGCGAGTGCCTGTCTCAAAACTAGGGCTGAGGACAACCGAGGAAGACAACGGCCATCAACTTCGGGCCTCCACGCGTATGTACGCGTGCGCGCTCGTTCACACACACTTTTCCGGGACAATCTTTCTCTGCCAATGCTCACTTCAGAGTGTAAAGCTGGATCTTGAGCCCGTGGTTCCACATTAAGGATTTCCCCTCTGATCTCCGTGGCCGTTTACCTTTCCTCAGAGTCCCTCTAAACGGAGCCGGTTACTCTCAGTGCCCCTCAATACTGGACTCCTTCCAGCTCGGTCCCCTTCCCCACCCTTCTGTCCCTTCTCCATTAAGCTGTCCCGCAGTTCCTCAGGTACTAGGCACCGATATTCATCTCCCACCTGGAACTACCACGTTTACTTCAGAAGTGTTTCTGGAGACTCTTCCCCTCTGCATTCCCACACTGCTGCCCTTGTTAAGTTTTAATTACCCTGGGCTGAATCATTTTATTAGTTTCCTAACAGGTTCTCTTGCCTCGGGTCTCCTCACCATCAGCACAGACTTGAGAATATGTCACTTTCATGGCAAAACAAACTAACCACTCGCCTACTCCTGCAATAACTCGACATTTTAACACCGTCCAAGCTTTCACAGTCCGAGTGGCTGCTGCTTTTCCAAACCTCTGTCCTCTTCCACCAAGCCTTATCAACTCAGATCTCCGAATACACCTCGGACTGTCGATGCATCTATGTCTTTGGCTCCTTCTCCTCTGCCATCCACATCTTTACCTGCTGAAATGCCCTCAGCCCTTCAATGTCTGAATCAAATGCCTTGTCCTTCAACGTCATTCTTCCAGTTCTTATCATTCAGGTTGGTGAGGTGAGTGACCTCCTCCTTAGCATTCTGTCTGTTCCAGACCTAAATTGAGCTGTGCGCTACAGCGGGCTGTGTGATCCTGTCACCCTGGTAACTACCCGAGTGTACAAGTCCAAGGATGCTTCTGCCTCATCTTCATTCCCTCAAGGCATTGGCCACCTATGTTTTTATTTTATTTAACAAGGTTTGCATCTCAGCCCGGTGATGCTGGTGCATGCCTTTAATCCCAGCACCTGGGAGGCAGAGCCAGGCCAATCTTTGCATTTGTGGTCAGCCTGGACTACAGAATGTGTTCCTGGACAGAAACCCTGTTTCAAAAATAAATAAATAAAACAATAAAACAAAAAGCTTAAATCTCGCCCCCCCCCGACCCCCGTAGACACTGAGTAACTTCCTTATTCTCCACCACATTTATTCAGGCAGGGACTCTCACTGAACCAATGCTTGCTGATTTCCTCATCTAACTATCCAGCTTGCCCTGGGATGACTCCCCCCAAACTCCAGTCCTCATATAAAAGTGGATATATATAATGTTTACTTAATCTATTTAATTATACACACATATATGTATATGTGTATGTACATACATATATGTGTGTATAATGAAACATATATTGTATAATTTCCTGAAAACAGGGTCTCGTGTGGCATGTATCTCAGGCCAGCCTCAAACCTATGGCAGTTCTTCTGTTCCTGCCTCCCAATCATGTGACTGTAATCTTTTTTTTTATTGAAAAAAAAATTCCGCCTCCTCCCAGCCTCCCATTTTCCTCCCCCTCCTCCCACTCCTCTCCCCCTCCCCCCACTCCTCTTCCCCTCTCTCTCCAGTCCAAAGAACAGTCAGGGTTTTCTGCCCTGTGGAAAGTCCAAGGTCCTCCCTGCTCCATCCAGGTCTAGGAAGGTGAGCATCCAGACTGGCTAGGCTCCCAGAAAGCCAGAACATGAAGTAGGATCAAAACCCAGTGCCATTGTCCTTGACTTCTCATCAGCCCTCATTGTCCGCCATGTTCAGAGATTCCGGGGTGCACCCACCCACTGAGACAGTGGGGCTGATCTATTGGGAGCTCACCAAGGCCAGCTGGACTGGGACTGAAAAAGCATGGGATAAACCCAGAATCTCTGGACTGTAATCTTTTTAAGAACAGATTTGTTCTTATCTAATGTGTGTTTGCCTGCGTATATGCATGTGCACCAAGTGCATGCCCGGTGCCCACCACGTTTAGAAGAGGAAATTGCATATCTTAGAACTGGAGTTATAGACAGTTGTGAGCTGCCATTAGGGTGTTGGGAACTGAACCAGATTTCCTGCAGGCATTCTACAAACTCATGTACGCAACCTAGAGCCTAGCTTATTTTGCTAAGCAGGATGAGTTCTAGCTCCATCCATTTTACTATAGATGGCATAATTTCATTATTCTTTTAAAAACAAATCCATCACTTTTTTTTCTTGATTTTATTAAGCTCTACATTTTTCTCTGCTCCTCTCCCTTTCTCTCCCCTCCCCTTCTACCCTTTTCCACAGTCCTGTTGCTCCCAATTTACTCAGGAGATCTTGTCTTTTTCTACTTCCCGTGTAGATTAGATCTATGTATGTCTCTCTTAGGGTCCTCATTGTTGTTTAGGTTCTCTGGGATTGTGATTTGTAGATTGGTTTTCCTTTGTTTTGTGTCTAAAAGTCACTTATGAGTGAGTACCTGTGGTAATTGCCTTATGGATCTGGGTTACCATATAACTCAATATGATGTTTTCTAGCTCCATTCATTTTCCTGCAGATTTCAAGATGTCATTATTTTTTCTGCTGTGTAGTACTCCATTGTGTAAATGTACTACATTTTCCTCATCTATTCTTCAGTCGAGGGGCATTTAGGTTGTTTCCACGTTCTGGCTATGACAAACAATGCTTCTATGAACATAGTTGAGCACATGTCCATGTGGCATGGTTGAGCATCCTTTGGGTATATACCCAAAAGTTGTATTACTGGGTCTTGAGGAAGGTTGTTTATTAACTTTCTGAGAAATTGCCACACTGACATCCAAAGGGGCTGTACCAGCTTGCACTCCCACCAGCAATGCAGGAGTGTTCCCTTTACCCAACATCCTCTTCAGCATAAGTTGTCATCAGTATTTTTGATCTTGGCCATTCTTACAGGTGTAAGATGAAATCTCAGAGTTGTTTTGACTTGCATTTCTTTGATGGCCAAGGATGTTGAGCATTCCCTTTAGTGTCTTTCAGCCATTTTAGATTTCTCTGTTGAGAGTTCTCTGTTTAGGTCTATACTCCATTTTTATTGGATTATGTGTTCTTTTGATGACCAGTTTCTTGAGTTCTTTGTATATTTTGGAGATTAGACCTCTGTCTGATGTGAGGTTGGTGAAGATTTTTTTCCCATTCTGTAGGCTGCCATTTTGTCTTGTTGACTGTGTCCTTTGCTTTACAGAGCTTTTCAGTTTCAGGAGGTCCCATTTATTAATTGTTTCTCTCAGTGTCTGTGCTGCTGGGGTTATATTTAGGAAGTGGTTCCCTGTGCCAATGTGTTCAAGTGTACTTCCCACTTTTTCTTCTATGAGGTTCAGTGTGCCTGGCTTTATGTCAAGGTCTTTGATCCATTTAGACCTGAGTTTTCTACATGGTGATAGATATGGATCTATTTTCATTCTTCTACATGTTGATATCCAGTTATGCCAGCATCATTTGTTAAATATGCTTTCTGTTTTTCCATTTGAAATCTTTTGCTTCTTTGTCAAAAATCAGGTGTTCATATGGTGTAGGAGGGTCTTCTGTCTATGTGTTACTTTCATTGGTTAAATAAAGAAGCTTCCTTGGCCTTTTAATAGGCCAGCCCTTAGGTGGGTGGAGTAGACAGAACAGAATTCTGGGAGAAAGAAAGCAGAGTCAGGCAGACACCATGGCTCTCCTCTCCTAG